TATTAGATTATCTGAGTATAAAGAATTTATTACCCCCAGTTCATTAATGTTCATAAATTTCAAATGAATCAGAAATAAGTACATTCTCAATCTCTTTAAACTACATTCAAACTTTTGAACAATTTGGAGACCCTACGTACACCCATGATCTCATTAAACTTCACAGTTACCGAAAAACCATTATAAAACAAATTTAAGAAACGAAAATGACCAAGTAACAAATTTCCTTCCAAACTCTTCGAGAACGTCGGCTAGTCGTAATAATTGATTTAACTTTCCGGGTACCTATATTTCCTTTAATACAAGACACCATATCGTCTAAACCTCGTTTCAGCTATCGCCCTAAGTGGCTGAAGCATCTGCCGGCGGCAGTTAACTGCGCGGAACCACGGGGCTCCGCCGGTTCGCGATCGAATCAGAATTCAATTTCGCCGGCCAGGGTCGTAACCGTGTAACTACGTTACATGCGATAAAACCCGGGGAGGATTTAATTCCGACACGTGAAATCAGCCGTGATTCCCGATTAACCGGTCGAATATACCATTTCACCCGGCCGCCGCCACCCGTGTTTCGTTCATCACGCGTCATTACGCCCGCAGCGCGGCCGGCTACCCGTTCCGTGGCGATCTTCCATATCGCCTCGTGAAATCGGCCTTAAGTTTGCGGAACGGCCGTATCGAGAGCGCAAGTGAAATTAGTCGCGGTTCGACGAGTGCGGCCACAACCGGGTCCCGAAGCGAAGAACGAAAGTAACGCGACTCGCGACGAATCAGGGTGAATCAAGCACCGGTTGATGCCCGTTGGATCCCGAAGAAAGGGAAACATCGGCCCCGAGAAGGGGGGAAAAAAAGGGAAACGGATCGAAGCGTGGCCGATACTCGCCTCCGCTTAAAACAACGCCATTCGCATTCTCTATTCACGACGCGTCAACGCGTGGGTGTGTCCTTTCTTACTTGTTACAGCGTAACGGCGTTCACGGTTCTGTTAACGAACACAGAGGCCCGTGAGAATGCGATAATAGCACGGGGATTCATTGAATGTCGAAGGGAAATAGGCACGAGTAGATATTGGCGGCCCTTTTAATTATTGAATTTCAACCGCAACGTATGTTGAGAGGGTACTGAACATCTTCAGAGTCAGTGGAAAGGATGTAATTGACTCTTCGGACAGTATTGAACGATCATATTAATTGGATTTGTTTGTAGGTCATGCCCGCTCGTTGTATAACTTCCGTGACTTCGTATGCGTTCTTAGGTTTTACCGTTTTATTCCCAGGTACCCACACGTCAGTGTGTTTTATTCCGTTTTCTGGGTCATTCTATCGTTTTATACGATGTCAGAAGTGTGTCTCGAGATTCTTTAATGGAACTGAGACGTGAATTTTATGTACACAGCAAATAGTAATTGATTTCTTAACGTATTACATACTGGCTGTTATTTAATAGCTTTAGTAGATCCAATGACCAACAGCCAAGGAATTAGTATTGAACAGTTTAATCACAGTAGCACATTACGTTCGTGGAGAATAACAAGAACTCTCATATAATACCGTAACAATTTTTCTGTAACCATGATCTGAGGGTAAATTAATAGGCTTCTTATCTACCACATAAGTACTGAAATTCAAAAGTCTATTAATAGGTTACCGGTCAGTATAGTGTTAAGAAGTTATTGCAAAAAGAAGACTTACTCAGAACTTCACTAATGTCTCCGATTCAAAATTGCTGTTCAATAATGAAATTATTCAAGAAAGATAGTAGTTAACATAGTAACGTATTATAATATATTACAAAATAATTGATACAAAGGGCAAAACCTGAATTCATTTAACCTTCGTACATTATTCAGTAAATCGTTGCGTTACTCTTCCTTCAATTAAACTTGGTCTTATAAGTTAAAATCTAATTAAGATAATATACTTATCTATTGCATGATGATTATGCATATAAACCACTGGTATGCCAATTTAATTTACAAGTTTCTCCGATAAACAATACAGTTAAAGCTTAAGTTTAGTTCAAATTGACCGGAGCAGTGCATGGGGGTTAAAGTTACGATACCAATTTTAATCGAAATAATCCGCCATTTCTTTCGCCGAGATCCAATCAATAATTTCCCTACGTAGCATACCATTCTCAATCGGTCCGTCACCGGACAACGTGCCAAAGCGACAGGACTACCTCGAGAATCGAATTCCAGAAGCTTGACCTTCATATCCCGCGAATTCAACCGCCTCCGCGCGACGTCGAGTACCAAGTGCTCTTCGCCAACGAATACTTGAGCGAGTCGCCGAGGCGTGCGCACTTGTCAATGCGCGTTCATATCCATTCACCGAATTCCTCGGTTCAATGGGCCGTATCCTGAATACGCAATGACACGTAGGTTTCGCCGGTTCGAGAACCGTGATACCATCCTTCCCGCGGCGCTCGTCCATCTCGCGCAGCGAAAACACGAGTGGGAGGGGGAGAGGGATTCGTCCCAAGGGGTTACAGGGAGGGAGGACGAAGGGATCCATTACACGATCCTACGGCAAGTGGCGTGCCAGCGATTTGAACGGGGGAACAGGCGAGCTTAGGTGTCACGAGCCACGTTCCTTCCACTCGATCGCAATGAGCCGCCGCTGGAGGAAGCACGGGACGACCGGGGAAAGATGAAGTCGACGGGTAGAAGAGAAACTACCCACGCTGTTTTATCTCGGTGGCCCTTTGTATTAAGCCGCTGTCGCAACTGGTATGCGCCGGCTTCACCGAAGTCCACCTTCTCCTTCCTGTCGATCCCTCTTTTTGCTCCTCGACTCACCTTCCCCCCTCATCCCTCCACCCGATAGATCTATGAAGTTTCGTTTCTAACATACGTAATTCGTTCCTCCAACGGTTTCTCTTTCTTCGATCGGCGATTCACCCTTTGTCGAATTCTTGCTCGGTGAGCCCGTGGATGACTGCGTGTCAGCCGAAGGATGAAAAAGTTTCCTCGTGCGTTGGTCGTGGTCTCGACAAAGGTGAGTCTGTCAAAATTCATGGGGTCGGTGAAATGAATTCCAACGGAAAATTTGTAGAATTTCTGCGGTTTCGTATTATTTTATTAGTTACAAGAAAAAAGATCGCGTCACGACCCGTGAAGATACATTTCGAACGAAAGGGACGTTAGTCGAGGTCCATAATGGAAGCCATTAGGATATCTACAGTTTCGTGCGATCTGAAAGACGAATCTTGAAAGGACAGAAATTTCTTTACATGCACGCCATAGAACTCCGAGCAACCGGAAATCACACGAGCAGAGCGACGTGTTCCCACGCGCCCACTTCTAATAAATTTACACGTATTCAGGGACTTCTATTAAGCGATCTGTCCGTCCGTTTCACTCGGCGAACTGGAGGAACGATCCGTGTCTGTGTATTTTCACGTCTCGTTTAACAGCGAAACACTCGTGCTTATTCACCAGACACGCTGATCTGCATACCGTGAACGAATATCGCGAGAACTAGCCGGTCAAAGTGCGAAGGTATGCGATTGGCTCGCGTCCAGACCGTAGTTACCCGCACGTCCAGCTGTCGGATAGACTGTTACACTAGAATGCCACGTGACAGGATAAACGCGACCTTAACATTAAACGGAGGAGAACGTGCAACGGCTTGTGTTACACTTTGCGAGTTCATGGGCTCGACGATAATAATAGAAAACATGACTAATCGATGGCCAAGATCTCTGACTTCCGTTTCGCGGGAATTCTTTTCTGATTACTCTTCAAACGATCGCCAGCATATCTTGCTCAGTGCGAAAATATCAGAACTAGATGATTTAAGAATATTATATAGTATTTATAAATACGATTAGTAATTTGTGTTAGTAATTCTTCAGTTACATTTTTATGCAGAAATCAGAGTATGTGTGTACACCGATGAGCAAACTCGGCTTCCACTAGGGGAAAAAATGGCGTAGAAGGAAAGTCTTCCAGCACTTGGTAAATTTATTCCAGGTAGTGAAATAAATGGTAAATCGAATATTAATTTAGCATACATATTTTTAATCATAGTTGGAAATTTTACACCCAATACCGAAAAGAATGCAATTTAAGAAATTGATAATTTATAAGGAAGGTATATCGTTTATAATTCGCGTATTTTAAACGTAACCGAATACTTCAGGTTTTCGACCATACTACTTTCAAAAATCCAGTTATTTGTATTAATTAAAAAATTTATAATTCACATGTCGTGTATTATGTGCGTTAAACCTTTCATTCTCAAGTTATTTAAAAATTACCAAAGAAATATTTTGTCGTATTTTTGTGTATATTATATTACATACAATGGATTCACATTTAACAAGAACATGTTAACATTTTGAAACTGTATAAGGCCATTTTTGGTTTGTTGTCATTTGACAACATTTTTACTTTTATCACAGTTACGTGTAATAATTCTCATTATAATGTTATTATATATAATAAAACTCCATTTTGTTCTTACTTTTGATCAATAAATCTTCTCGACATATTTGAAAGAAAATAAAAGTTTTGTAAGTTTCTATTGTATTTATAACAATGCTCAACACGTGAATACCATAAAATGAGATAAAGAACCATTAATGTTTTATTCTACCGATAAGCTTTTAAATGCACATTCAAATTTATGCTATACCATCTATACAAGATTAGAGGAAACTATTACTAATATATTATTTCATAATTTCGAATACGTAGCCATATGGCAATACTGAGAACGAAAAGGTTAAAACTCGGTAATATTTTTCATTTCACGGAAACATAATATAGTTGAGAAAATAAAACAATAGTTACACGCTGTAGAAATGAATAGTATATTAATTTTAAGAAAATAATTTGTTCAGCAACACATATGTCGTCTGAAATATACTTTCGTGGAAGTTTGTCTGGTCCGAGATGTTATTATTAGAAGTTTCACGTTGAAAATAGTACAGACGCGGACATAAAATGATACGGTTAAGTGAAATCAACTAACGGCATATTTTTCGTGGTTTCAGGAAACGGAAGAAGTGCGCCGACATGTCGGCCTTGAGCGCCGGGCCTTGTCGACCCGGGATTATACTATGTCTGACTGTTCTACTGGCATCGCAATCTAATTCTGGTGAGTTCTCCGGCGAATCCGTCGATAAACTTCCCTCTGATAGGAACCTGTTTCCCACCGCGAGACTTTTATCTTCTTCTTGGTCTTGCTTCGACGCCTCTAACACGCCCGACGCGTCGAAACGTAACTCATTTGGCAGCGAACAGGTGTACGTGAGATAGCATGAAAAAGTAGTCTCGACGAGGAAGAACGTTCCTCTCGGCTAGACTTCCCATTCTCCGTACGTTCGTCTCGAAAAAACAATTCTACGATCCTGCTGGCATCACAATGCCCTCGCTTTAACAAATTTCAATTTCTAATCCGAGCAATGTCTGCCCAAAGTTAACAAATTTTCAGTTGTAGACCGCGGAAAATTTTCAAGCGTACAATTTATTTATACTTTATATACGCGAAAAATTAGTATAATTTTTATCTGCTCAATTATTATACGTACAGATTAATATTGAAGGAAATAATTCATTGTGTTTCGACATGAAATCGACGCGAGTGTAATGTAATTAATAATGATTAATGATACAAATATTATTATGGGTTAAAGCATAAGAATTTATAGATATATAAATGTGAAAGTTTAAAGTTTATGATAGGGAATAGACAAACATACAGGGCCGAGTAATTGGTATCCCCAATCTATAGGTTCAACAAGAAATTAGATTCTTTCTTTAAAAGTTTTAATATAACTGCAAAACATAATCACACATTATATATATAAATACACTTATGTGGGTTATACATAATATGATTAGAACGTTAATGCTGACCGTCAGACGACCCGTTTTGTGCCGTCATTGAAATCTCCAAGGGACACAGTTCCGGAAATATTAAAATACTGATAAATACAAAATAAAAGAATAAAGATTGTATACAGTTTTATTATACAATATTTTACTACTATTTTCATATCGTCCAATTAGTCAATATAAATGAAAATGTGAAGCCTAAACATATCGTTCAATATATTTTAAAAGATAGGACAATATAAATTTAATTTCACAGTTTAAATGACATCTTTTAACAAGTATTCTGCAGTTTAAACAACATTATTTACCGTACAACATAGATATACAAAATTCTTCGAAAAATATTTCGTCTGAAGCTACCACGATGACTCACGGAGTCAGTCGATATCTGAATGAGACAGCCGGGTTCTGTCAGGACATCGAACCTATCCTCGTCTCTCCCTTCCCGCCTAACAAAATAATGGTCTTACCTCATAATGCTCTCACCTTTGGCATCCTCGGGGGCCCAAGGTGCTTTCCCATGGATCTAGCACACCATATTCGTTCTTTGACGGGTCTCAGGCTCTCGGGTCGTCCCGTTGCGGCCGTCTTCTCTCCATCACGAGTCACGCTCTTCAAGGCATCATGGAAGCCTCTTCCGTTCACGTCGAGCTGGTTTCGAATTACGTGTATACGAATCGTCGTTCTTTCACCGATCGATCGACAGTATTCCATCGGTATCGATTAGTCGTTCCCGCGTGAACGGGACGCGTTGCATCGGAAATCGCTCGAAAACAGCCGACTCTACTTTCACCTGCGTCACAAATTACGTCACACGAGTCCCGGAGGTCAAGTTCCTGAGAAACATGCTTCTCTGATCTTTCACGTTAACAAATTTCCTCAGGTTCCAATCGCGAAACGGTAAAACACAAAATTGACATTCGACACTCGACACGATCGGATTTCTGATATGGATCCAGTCATTCCCATTCCGCTTGTCAAATGACGTTAATACGTCCTCGGGACGAATTTCAATCGAAACCGTGGAACCAATTTAGAATCCATACGAATCGGCCTGGGCTTCTTATAAATATAAATATATGTCGGCGTATCGCTTGGAGTTACCGCACGATGTGAAATTCTTCGAGAGATATCGAGCTTGGTAATTGCTTCCTGGACCTTGGCCATCCCTCTCACGATCCATCAACGCCAGCACAGAGAATCGATCCTGTTTTCCCGCGGCGCGTACGGGGCGAGGATCATTCCTGGAACAACGTCTGCTACCTCGAAAGCGACAACGTGCAAAAACGTCGCATCGTCAATGAGATCTCATTGGAGATGCACCGTTTTTACCACGTTCTATCCCCTCCCCCCTCTCGACAATTGGCCGCGGCTAATTCACCGAACAGCAGGTGTGGATAAACGGTTCGAGCACAGTTGAATTCTTCGAGTTCGTGCCTCCTTTTTTCAGCCGGATCGACAGGCGATCTTGTCCCTCGCGCGAACTGCGGTCCGTTCTTCTTGCACTAGGAGTTTCCCTTTCGAGCAACAGTGCGATTCAAGATCGACGCACCTCGATCGCATCGATCCACCTGGCGCGCGATTTTCTTCGACGTTCGGATTTAAACGTCTGCATTCGGGGAACGGATCGATATTCCCTACATATCGCCGACTCTGAGCGTCGTTCAGAAAAACCGGCGAGTTTTGTTCGCTTCGCAAGCACGCGGACATTGTCCTCTTGAACGTTTTTTATCGTTCGACGATTCACTTGAAATTATTCCCGCCATGGCAGAAAACACAATCGGGGAACGAGTTTGGAATGATTCTGATCGAGAGACGAAACCGTTTTGTGTAATTCCTGCAGCGAAGAATCGCTTTCGTTGTTGCATCGTTGAAATGCATTGTTATTTAAACTCGTTGCTTGAAGTTTTACTTGTACCTTTGGAAAATATTTCACGATATTCTTAATATTTTTAGAACCGACATTACATTCCAAACTTCGTCGAAGTATCGTATCATCGAGTGAATTAATTCCATTATAGTTCGTCATATTCTTCCTAAACAAATGAATATATGGCGATGTTTTGAAATCTTGTACAAAGTTTCCAGACATTCTTATCAAACAGTACTGTACTCAAAAAATGTTGAAATTCAGAAGCAGCATGTTTCTGGACAGATGACCATCTGACTTCTTCCTCGTCCGTGAAATCAGCAAAACAAGTTCCGAAAGATTGATCATTCGCTTCTGGAGCAAGCTTGTATATCTTCCCAAAATCCAGGAAACATTAAATTCGATGAACTGAATCCATTTCGAGCGTCAATTCAATGACCGTTCTTAAATCGTCCGCTCGTCGATTCCCAATCGAGACTGCGGAAGCCGACGCGAATCCGACAAAAAGCTGACAGACAATTGATTTCTTTGGCGCGACAGAACCAGATTTCGAAATTCTCGCAGAAGCGATCTACGGAACGGGGTGATCGGAGGGGGGAAAAAAATCCACGTCACCGGCACACAGCTGCACGAATAGCGGTTCCTGTACTTACCTGCATCGCATCCACGTGATGTTGTGAATTCTGGTCAAACCTGTAAGCCCCTGAAGAGATGGCCTGCCTGTCGGGATGTCACTGACCGATTACCTCACCGTTGCCCACTTACGGTCCATGCCGTCGCACCTGACCCCCGGGACGTTCCATATTTATGTCTTAATGCCGACCAAAGTGTCGTTATCTTCGAGTGTCGTTGAGCCGGCCGAGAAGCGTGCAGCCTCCCTCGACAGCACTCGAGCGTTGTTTCTTGGTATGTCGAGTTAAGTTAACGGGGCCAACCAGTGTCTTAAATTCTCGCTGGAATTTCAGACTCTCTTCCTCATAGTCGTTTTGAATTTTTATTACCTGTAAAATACAAATGCCTATAAAAGTTGTTGAGATTAGATTGGTTAAGGGACATATACAGTATGATAATGTCTCGGTGGCGAGAATTTAAGATCGTGACTGTGAAGCAACGGACAAGAATATTTTATATTTATGGAAGGATATATCGAGAATTAGACAAATTTCGAATGCAGTAATGCTTTGATTTTAGATCAATATTCTGGACCACTTGCTTTATATTCAGTCATTTTCATGGGGTAATGTATCGATGTTATTATATTGCACAGTGTTCTCTACGATATGGTAACATAATTATTATCATTATTAGGTTGAGTACAATCGTATTTTTTATATCTGTCTGAATCCTATTCTTATAATTGTTATATCTTATTATACCTCATTGTTACACCATTGTATTTGTGTGCCGTAACATTTCGAAGCAAATATTGTGAAAATGGGTCCTCACCCGTATGAATTAAATTAAATTAAATTAAATATTCAGCCCAGATTATCTTGTAGATAAATTTTAGATACATTAATGCCTCCATAGTAGATCACAATTCTGGACCATTTTATTCGGATAACCCGAAGGCTAGAAGACACTACTCTTATCGTATCTACATTATTTAGCTAACTTTCAAATACAGTAATACTTCAATAACAGGTCACCGTTCCATATAACATTAAAAGTCACCAACTCCGCGTTATTTAAATTATTGTGTAAATTTAAAAATAATGGAGTATCGATTCACCATCGGTAAACTCCGACAGGCTAATATTGAAACATGTTGCAATATTTACCATTCAACCATCAACAATAATACAAAATCAATTACAAACACTGGTTCCAAGTAATTAAAATCGGTTTAATTACCGGGCTTCATTTGCATTATGTACATTTGTCTGGCGAACGACACTTCTGAAAACGCGTACCGTTTATTTGCTCGTGTGGAGCGTCTCGAATCTCGTGTTTGCACATACTCATGATCGCTAATTATCGCAATAATTGACTACCGCGTTGCCTAACGTCGTTTCGCGAGTCCGACGAGTGCCATTCGTGGTCCCGTCGTCCGTCAGCCACGCGTGTGGACGCCGAATTCAGATGGTGCTTAAAATTCGAACCGTGTAAACGAGTGGTAAAGTAAACGTAGCGGTTCGAGCACCATTAGCAAAGGTACACAGGCACCATGGGTTGTGCAGACACTCCCGCAGAATTAGCTGGTTCTCCTAACGCCTTATTTTTTTCGTGCGTTACATAACGTGGCCCGAGAATACGCTCGGAGAACCGACAGAAATGAGGGACATTGACTTGAATCAAGCCTACCGGTCGTAACGATTTAGTACATTCGAATCATTATTTTCTTTGTCACCGCGGGAACCTTGAAACAACATGGAAGATTCGCGGCTTGA